CTCCTCCTCCTCCTCCTCCTCCTCCTCCTCCTCCTCCTCCTCTACCTCCTCTTCGCAGGGGTTAAAGTTAAACCCGCTGTTGTTGTTGCTGCCTCCGCCGCTGCTTTTGCCTTCGTCTCTCTCTTTCTCTTCCTCGCCCCTCTCTCACCCTTTCTCTCTTTCTCACCCTCGCCTCGCTCTCCCCGACGATGTGGTCGTCGGTCGATTCGACGTTTCGATTTTGCGTTCCAATATCTCAGCTGAAACAATGGGGATTGCGATATGCGCGATCAGGGCGCGACGTCGTGATAAGACGAATAAGTGGGAAGAAAGAGATGGAGGTCGCCTTCGGCGCCCTATATTGAATCTCTCACAGTGGCAAGTGCGAGAGAGAAAAAGAGATAGAGGGAAAGAGATGGTGGTCGCAATTTTGGCGTTCTACATTCAACTTCTTAAAGGAGAGGAAGCGCGACAGTCGATTTCGATGTTTTCCGTTTCACTCTCTGATAATTTTGCAGTACATCGACGCAAACGACGTAGCCTTTCGCGGTGGAAGGCTAAATGACCGGCCGAGCGGGGATGATTATTAAAAAATACGAACTTTTCATTTGAAAAGTCAAGCTAGTCCCCAACGAAGGTAAAAAGAGATCTTAAATAATTCAGACAAATCGTGCCCGACCTCCAGCACGATATGATCGAAACTCTAATGAAATTTCGCGAGCGTCAGTCCGACGAAGACGAAGAGAAGTTGTTAAGCGCAGCAGCAAGAAGAGCGACGGTGGCATGCATTTTTTATGCGCTGCGCATTGCCGGGAAACGCGTTCCGTCGTTGTTGCGCGGGTGGAAATCAATTTTCCACGCGCAACCAGTATATCTCGTGCAAATGCGTCTCTTTCTTGAAACAACATCTTCGTTGCGTCGCAGGGAAATTCGCGAATATGCAGCGCTCGGGCGCGAGACGCGAGTGCAGACTGTGATCCCGTATTTTCGTCTATCGACAGCGCGGCGTATTTAGGGCAAAGGTGATCGACCGCGACTTAGAACCGAGCGGAAGCTCTCGTCTTCAGCCGAACGGTGGGGTGGAAATATATAGGACGTGAATATGAATGCTTCGTCAATTTTTACACGTGCGTGCGTATATAAGCCAGACCGGGGCTAAATGTCTCATATCCCACGACTTCTAAGTTACAACTTTTCAGACGAGTAATTGTTGTGATTGACTGTACCAACATGACAGAGGCAGTCTTCTTCCATGCGTGTAAATTGCTTTTTTTTATCTGAAACAGTGTGTCATACTGTTTCATTTCTCACTTAAAGAAAGTTCATTACAGCTAGTGATATATCGCTTAACTTACGACTTACTCACGATGGAGGACGTTAATACAAAATTTTTCAAGAAAGTCGATCATTTACTCTGCTACTACTGAATCAGTTTTTTTCCTATTTTTTAACTGTGATGTTATTGCGATTTTAATAAAAACGAAAAACGTGTGTTTATGTGCATTTATGTTCTAAAAGAAACATTTCGCGATTTTGCATCCACTGCTCTGAAGGTAAATACGAAAAAAAGCACATGAGCAATATATGATTCATCATATTGGGAACATTTAGATCTGGTCTACTTTATTTTTATTTCTTTTCATAGGATTCAATCGTTAATAAATATTTGAGTAGCACTAATTTCTTTAATATGTCACACAGTTCGCTTAGAAATAAACTAAACTTCTCTTTAATCCTTAAACTACGACCTTTGTAATTAAATTAAATTATATTTCTCATTTTAATTATTATATTACGCAACTTCATACATGTGGTTACATTATATAATTTATTGTATCAAAGGGAATAATTTTCCTGTGAAAATAAAGAAATAAAGAAACACGCATTGAGAGAAAAAATATGGAAAAAATAAGAAATATTTTCTCGGTAGGTACTAATAACATATTTCCTTAAATCCAATTTCTTTTTTATTCAAATAAAATAAACAATTGCTTTCGTGAAAAGCTAAGATTTTAAGAGAATATCTATTTTCTTGGAAAACGTATTCTCTCAATGCAAAAATATGTAAGTAAATATATCAATAGGTATTTATCAAATAAATATTTTTTTCTGAGATATTTTTTCTTTCTCTCTTACACACACACACACACACACACACACACACACACACACTATAGAAAAATAGAAACAGGTATGCGTGAGTTTGCACGCGTGGAGCGGAAATGGTGGCGCGATACGGTCGACTGTATATTTCACGCTGCTACCAAGTGGTTTGTAGGTCAGCGATAAATCGGAGTAATTAGGCGAGGCTGATTATCGCGATTTCGGTGAGCCCGCGCGACCATCGGCCACGAATCGGGAAGGAGACACACCGGGTGAGCTCTCGTCGCACTAAATAGATTTCCTCCGGGTTCCTCCCGGCACGAACGCAGCGCGGGGTGTCTGTGTTTTGCAACGGTATATCGCTCGTGAATACAGGCGCTTTTCGTTCCCCTTTACATCTCACAAAAGCTCTGGCGCGAAAGTCGCTCAAACATCCCCGCGCGTGAACGCGCATTATTCTCGCCCCCTGCCGATACTTCCCGCGTGTAAACGCGCGCCAAGGAGACAAGATGACATTCAGTGTGGCGGATCTCTCGATAGGTGCACAAAGCGTGCGAGCGCGCGCGGCGCGAAACGCTGAACAAAGTGAGAAAGTCACCCATAAGAAAATCGCGACGACGAGTACGGCGTGCACGCAAACGCCTCCCCGTTCGCGCTGCAATTCTGCGACTCTTTTTGCATTTTTTACGTGGGAGCACAGTCTGTATTTCGCTCGCAACGAACGGGAATGCAATCGCCGTGTTCCGCGGCAAAGTAGCCACGCTAACGCAATTCGCGATCGAATTGTCGCCCGCCGACGCACGGACGCAATAGCATGGCGACCTTTTTCACCATTGCCAGCGCCCCGAATCCGCGCTTTTCTTCCACTCCCGGCGGAGGGAGAGCCGCGACATGTCCGCGCTATTAAGTATTATAATGTCTCCGAGGGAATCTTAGCATCGACCGCGTATAATTACCCGTCGATCGATACAGCTCGTCGCTGTTGTTCCTTTCGCGCTCGCGCGTCCCCTTATTCTCTTTTTTTATTCCATACGCCGGCCGTGCTTTACGCTACGCGAGACGATCGACCGGCTAATTAACCAGCTGACAAGACACGCGCGACGAACGATCGGCTCTTTTCATCGAGAATACGTAAGCTTAATATATCTCCTTCGATAGCCGCGGAAAGCGCGCACTCTCCTCCCTCCTCATTCTCCCTCTCTCTCTCTCTTCCCGCCCCTCTTTCTATTCTTACTTTCCATTTCTGAACTTTTGTATGCCATATGTGCTTTTTTTTTCTTGTTTTTTCTCTCTTTTTTCTATTATTTTTTGCAGTGCCCTTCATTTTTACATGCTTTTGTGTTTCATCTATTAAAATAACACGCAATTCTGACCTTATGGTGGCGTTCCGCGCTGCGATATAGAGTAAAGTTGCTTAGTGGGGAGGTTTTTTGTTAGAGCTCATAGCTCCATAATATTTGATTCGGTCTGATTGGACGAATCGTATTGAGACCCCAGCAACACGCTTGGAAACGCGCCAATTCTGTTTAGAAAAACCAACCGTCAAGCTCGCGAGTCAAATTTCTCGCTGCAGAACGAACTTAGCGGCATGCATAGCTCCTCGCAAGAAAAACGACTTCAAATCACGCTCCGTGGGCATTGGACTTAATCTCATATTCACCGTGCGTGAGTCGTTAAATCTCCTGGATTTAATCCAAGGCCTAATGAGCGTCTACTCGACTCTCTCGCGAGTTTTTCCGTAACGCTCGCGCTCAGCATCGATTCGCGGAAGAGCGCGATCGTTCCTCACCGTCGGTATCGGCGTGTTTACAGCGACATTTTCCACCGGGACAGCCAATTATCTCGGAATTAACTCCGCGCCAAGATACGACGATCGCGCCGAGTTGTCCGCGCGCGCAAGAAATGATTTCGCCCTCGCTTATCCTTCCGACTTACTGACAATCGGTAAGGAGGAATCGCTTCGGCGAAGAAAGAGCGAATCACATTCGCTCACGTGCAGAACGCGATCGATGACGGGCACGATGAGCGAATTTTCTCGGGCCCGATTCGCGCTCCGAATATATGGATTTAATAGAACAGATTGAATGGATTAGAGAGAAAGAGATAGAGGGAGAGGGCTGCCGCCGAAATTAATAGACGGCCGACGTCTGGGATGATGAATCGGAGTGGAATAGAATAAAATATTCCGTAGCGCACGTGCGGCTTCCTTCGAGGAACGCCGAACTCGCGACACAAGGAGTTACGCGAGGAAAACAGATGAATAATAAATAACACGGCAAGAGACAACACATGCAGAAGAGGGAAAAGGGGATAGCCGTGAAAGAGCGTGAATTACGCGTCGACGATACGAGACATTATTTC